CCTATCGGAACCTGTCTCACTTGTCTGACAGTCTCTAGTATTCACCAGTTCTGTCTACCATTCTATCTTACATACCTCCAAACTATTGACGCTTGTTGCTATACCTCGGCCACAAATTGCTGATACTGCTGTGTCAATACATTTATAATTCATGTCTGAAAAATTGCATTCATTTCAGCACTAATTGAAGCCTTTAGCAATCATCTAATGTACTCAAATATCTATGTCTATATCCTGTGTAAAAGAATTAGCAGCCCACTATCGTATCATCAAAATTCTTTAGAACATCTCGCTCGAAAATTCAAGCTGATTACTCGAAAAATGTGTAAATAGAAATCTTATCTTCGATCACGGAAATATATAGTTCAAGTTATCTGTGTGTCGTGATACACGAGCATCGCTACGGATAATTTCTATTCGATTTTTGAATCCGATCGATTATTTATTTTTGTTGTTTTATCTACCTACATACGCACATTGTAAAAGGAAAGTAATGGCTCCTGCCTATATTTATTACTCAGAAAACTAACTTGGAATGGTTCTTCTAATCTGGCCGCGGTAAAAGCACGGGGTGCCATCAGCAGCTGTGATGATGTCAGTCGCATGTGATATGATACAACTAAATAATGTACCCATCATTAACTGTCCTCAGGGTACATGGTACTTACTTACCAGTTAGTGGTGCTATGTGAAGATCAGGTGCTATCTTATTCGTGGGGTGTTGGTTGGCTCTGATTCACACACTTGGCTTAAATAATAAAGTTTAACCAGCACACCAAGCAAAGTTGGATGTGTATTTAGGAATATCAGAAACTCCTCGGTTGGCACAGTGGTTTAGACGTCTGATTTTCAATATTAACGACAACAAGAAGATTCTGTTTGTTCAGTCGCCTTAAAGAGAAATGTCTTTTATTCATAAATACCCTTAGGAATACAAAAGAAACGTCACGTATAAAATCCTGTATACACATTCGCACTTGATCAAGATGTAAATCATTTTATTGAAAATATAAAGTTGTTAAGATATATTATGGTTTTATCACACACACTCACACACATATGTATATGTATCTTAAAACATGTATACATATATGTGTGCATATGTATATAATATTTCGACGAATATATATATACATATATAATGCCATCAGCTTGGCTTATATCATAATATTTTCATTATTTATTTTTTTGTTTTAATGCATTCGCAAGATTGAAGTAAATTGTCGTAAAGTATAAGTATATTCAAGTAACTGTAGAGTTGATTGATTTTTGAGAGAAATGGTGGATCTCAAAATATGCTTGAGGGTGCATAAATATTGAATTCCAGTTAGAGTTAAGTTTAATGTACATATATATATGTGTACACATATATATGTATATATACAGATATATATATAATGTATATATGTATATATATATATATACATATATTTACATATTTTTCCTTTTTTGTTTCTTTGTGTATGGGAATCATATGCGAAGAAAACTTAAGCATGAACACATGTATATGTATGTGCATATATCTTACATACAATGTGTTTTCTGCAATAATCGTGAGGTAATTTAGCTCACTTTCATTTTCTGTCTCATGATGTAACTGTATATATGTGAACATGCCTGTGCTTTTTATCATGCTTGTATCCAATAACGTGTCATATGTGATTGGAACTATATTACTGCTTTGAATGGTTACTCTTGATATTGTCTAGTAAAACGTGATTAGATGGTTTGTGTTACGTACTTGTGATTTATGACTTAAGCATAATACATAAGATTGTTAAACCAGATACAGAGAGAGAACCCTAGAGAAACAGTACAAACACAAATGATGATGTGAATGTTCTCTACTAAATTTACTAGCGTTGTGTCAATTGTGTAAAAAGACGAATTAAAAT